CCATGGACTGCCAAGAAAACAAACAGATTCATCCTGGAGAGGGTTAAACCAGGCTGCTCCTTGGAGGCAAGGATTCTAAAGCTTCATCTGACATACTTTGGACATATTGTAAGGAGGGACCGTTCCTTGGAGAGGGACATCATGCTTTGGAGGGTGGAGGGACGGCGCAGGAGGGGAAGGACCCTCTATGAGGTAGATTGATTCAGTGACTCTGGTGATGGGGATGAGTGTGTCAGAGGAAGTGTGATTGGCACAGGATAGAGCAGGGTTTAGGGCTGTTGTACATTGGGTCGCTATGATTCGCAAGTGACTCGACAGCATATAACAACCACAACAACATTTTACCTTTATATTAGTTTGAATGTGTTCTGATCAGACAACTACTCCCACTGGGTACATACTAAAGATGAACACAATTGAGTGTCTACTTCTGTGGACTGAGTGGTTGGAGCACACTGTAATAATGTCTGCTTTGATAACATGTGCTAAAAGTTTACAGAAGGTGATAGGGAAAGAGTTATTGGAAGACTGAAGGTATATTTCACAGGACTGCCTGGAGTTAAAGAAAAGAGCAGAAGAGCAGGACATAGAGAACAAACTCTGCATTTGAGCTGCCTCAAAAGGTTTAGAGCCTTAGAGTCTTATATGTCGAGTTTATAGAAATAGGGTAGAAAAGAAGGAGCAGATTAACCACAAAATCTTGGATGTAAACTTTGGCATTGTGAAGGATTTTTAACAGAATATTGATGTGATTGGTTTGCTGTTTGTGGAGGAGGATTATAGGGAGAGCAAGATTCAAGCCAGGAAGATCTACTTTAAAGCTGGTCGTCAGGTGGGGAGGTCAGGGAGAAAAAGGCAACAGTGAATGAATGGAAATCCAAAGTCTCTGTCAATATGCATTAAAGTCAATAAAAAAAAAGCTTGTGGTTACTCTGACAAGAGATGGTGAACTGCCACAAGAATGGGAGAGAAGTAAATCTGATAATCTGGCACTACTCATTCTTTCTCTCTGTCTATGTGTGTATCGATACTATGACAGTTTCATTTTCGTTGTGCTAAAATAACAATTTCTCAGAAATTACTAAATAGTTTTGCCACTTTAAAAATTTTATTTCAAGTTGTCTTATTTTGGGGTTTTTTGTTCATAATATAGACAACAGAATATATTTCAGTTCTATACTTCTCTGCCTGTATGATTTTTTGACATGGGCTACATTCATCAATTTGTGTGTCATTTTCTACTTCTTTCAAATTCTTCTACCGTTTACAGATACTCAACTGCTCCTGATGCCATAATCTTTCGAGGGACTTAGTTTAATCCTACATAGATAATTCTTAAAAGAGCAAGATGCTTAAAACTAATGCCTTTCTTTTTAGGTAGTGACACTGGGATTTAAATTGGATTTAAAAATCCATGTTGTGCACTGTTCCCATGATCTTATACTGTACTTCTCTTGTTTCTTAAATGGAAATAAAGAACGTTTGTACGCAGTATTTTGCGTTTTTATCTTTAGAATTGCACTTGTGTTGCTTTTACATTCTACATAGGTGTGTGTCCTGCATGTGCATATGCTAAGCCTCATTGTATTGTATTTTTAAAAGTATATAGAAAGATGTGTTCATACACATTAACAAGTTAGTGTTGTTCAGCTGATTGGGTAACAGCTAGAATAGCAGGAAAACAGACATTGTTTACTAATTTTGTTAAGCTGTTATTTGTTTTTTCACCACACCTCTAGGATTTAGAATATTAACGTGATGACTTCTGATATTCTAATTGACAGTTACCTCATGAGATTATAGTCCTAAAGCTTCACCCAGAAAATAAATCCTACAAGAATTTTTTGTTTTTTATAGTACTTCTAATAGAAACTGTATTTTAATTATTAACCCATTTGATTTTTTAAAAAAATATATTTTATATTTGTCCCCATAAAAAATTCATACACATTGTTTCACACTTTTCTTCATTCACATTGTATTTTTTAAAGTATAGTGTTGCATTCATATGTTTTGCTAAGATTAGTAGCATACCACTTATAAGAAGTACAGAGTTAACCATTTCCAAATGCTTGATTTGCTATGTAGCTCTATAATTTCCAACATTAACAGTCTCTTCGTTCATTTCACTCACTTTTCTGTGTCCCCTGCGTTCAGTTGTTTACTGGAAGGTCTCCCAAGGACTCAAACTTGTCAAGTGAATGACACAAAGGACTGAAGGCATGTAGACTGATGTAGATTGTCAGTCACAGTGTGGCTGGAAAGCAGGTATCCCAGAAAGAAGACCTTCACCGAGGTCCCAGGAGCTTATATAAGTCTTTAGTAGGGTGAGATTTTGTTACGCCCAACGGTAGGTAGTGCCCCGAAATGAATTCTGCCAATGTATGTAAAAACAAAGAACACCTTTAATCTGCAGGTTACGTTCTCCACGTATGGAGGCTCTCTCTCCTGTGTTATCAGTCATGCACAAGGAAGTAAGAGAGCCTCCATATGTGGAGAATTTAATCTGCAGATTAAAGGCGTTCTTTGTTTTTACATACGTTGGCAGAATTCATTTTGGGGTACTCCAGTTGGGCGTAACATTTTGGTGTATTGGCTGTGCACTCAGTCATGTGGGTTGGCTTTTGATTGGTGGGCTTATCTTGCCGCCTCTTCCCGTCCTGTGTCATGTAACTGAGGTTACTTGGTTACTTTTAATCTGATAAGATGGTGGCTTCCTAAGACTTCCTGGAGTCTCTGGGATTACTCTGCTTCTAAAACTAAGAATTTTTATGGCCCAGTGTCTGCTTCTGGAGTTAATGAGTTCTGTTCAAGGTTGAATTATGGTTGGGCTTTCCGGGGTGGGGGAGGTCTCCCCCGGACACCTGAAACGGGGATCCATGCCGTCCCCTCACTTATATCGATAAATATTTATATGCAACCTAAGTATTTATATACAGTAAATATTTCAGCAAAAAATAGTTAATCATTTACTACAAGTTTGAATATATGTTAACTCTTTAGCCATTTGCCTATTGATGGACACTTGAGTTGTTTCCAATTCTGATACTATAAATAATGCTTCTGTGAACATGAATGTACATGAGTCTGTTTGTATTTCAGATCTTAATTTTGTGGATATATACCCAAGAGTGGGATTGCTGGGTCAAATGGCATTTTCTGTTCCCAAATAAGGAAGCATCAAACTGCTTTTCAACAGTGGTCAAAGTGTTTTACATACCCAATGAGTGGTTTGGTTTTATCATGCTCAGAATAGTGGAGGGACAGCACAGGACAGGAAGACCCTGGATGAGATGGATTTATACAGTATCAGGGGCAATGTGGGTTGGTGTGTCAGAATTAGTAAGACTGGCTCAGGGCAGGGAAGGGTTCAGAGTTTCTGTACATGGGGTTGCTATACGTTGCAGACAACTCAATGGCACACAACAGGAACAGCATACTATATTGGTTATTTTTTTATTTAAGCTTCTTGTTTAGAGTCAACAAGACATTGAGGGCCTTTGTATTTAAAAGTTCGTTGTTATTATATTTTGGAGGAACATTTTTCTAAGTTGTCCAGCACTCTTCTGTCAATATGCCTTACTGAGGTAACCTGGGTTTGCTGTGATCTTGAACTTTGTGCCATAGGGGTGTTAAATGCCATAACGTATACCCATAGTGGACAGTGTTTGCTGGCACTCCCAGTTTAATACATGTCTGGAAGCAGGAGTGGCATCCACTTCCTAAACTCTGTGAACTTTGATAAATGATGATAGTTACAGAAAGGCTTCAGGCCTTTTGTTCATAGGGTTGCTGTGAATCGTGCTCTACTGGAAGGCAATCAACAACAAGAAGAAGATCTATCCATACCAGCTTTGTATGTATTTTATGTTGTTGTTGTTACTTGTGACACATTGAATGTGACCTATAGTGTGAACAACTGATTTGAACCCTGTCCTGTCCTGTGCCATCCTCACACTTCCTGACACACTGCAGCCCATTGTGGCAGTCACTGTGGCAGTCCACCTGGTTCAGGGTCTTCCTCTCCTTTGCCAATCCTCTGCATTTCTGAGCATCATGTCCTTCTCTAAGGAATAATCCTTCCTAGCAACCTGCCCAAAGTATTGGAGGCAAAGATTTAAAAGATGATCAATCTTTGCCTCCAAAGAGCACTCTGCCTACACTTTCTTCCAGACATAATTTTGGCAGTCCATGGAACATTCACTACTCTTCACCACTATAGCTCAAAGACAATCAGTTCTTTGTCATCCTTATTTATTGTCCAGCTCTCAGATATATATCAAGGTATCAGAATTACCATGGCCTGAACCTTACTACCCAATAATTTGGAGAAGTGTTTAACTACAGACTTTCCCAGTGCAGTTCATTTGATTTCTTGACGGTTTGTACCAAGGGAATTGATTATGGATCCAAGCAAGATGAAGTTGTTGACAGTTTCAATCTTTTTTCTATCATGATGTTGCCTATACATCGAGAAGGTTTGTTTTCTTGACATTGAGATGCAATCCATATTAAAGTATGTATTCTTTTATTTTCCGTAGTCAGGGTTGTGTCATCTGCTTAACGCAGGTTACTGATGAGTCTTCCTCCGATCTTGATGTGACATTCTTTTTCATAAAGTCCAGCTTCTCAAATAATTTGCTAAGCCTACATATTGAAGAGATATGGAGAGAGAGTACCACACTGACACATTCCCTCCTTAATTTTAAACTGCAGTGTTCCCTTGCTTTGTTCACACAGCAACCCCTTGGTCTAGGTATAGATTTCGCATGAGCACAATTAAGTGCTCCGGATTCCCATTCTTCCCAATGTTATCTGTAACTTGTTATGATCCACACAAATACCTTTGCATAGTCAATATAGTACAAATAGATATTCTGGTATTCTTTCTTTCAGCCAGAATCCATCTGACATACACAGTGATATTGTGCAGTGGACTCTTCTAAATCCTGCTTGAACTTCTGGCAGTGCCCTGTTTGTGCATTGTCTTAAAGGTGTTTGAATGTTCTTTAGCAGTATCTTGTTTGCATGTGATACTGTTTGGTAATTTTCACATTCTGTTGGATCACTTTACTTGGGAATTGGAACAAATAGGACTGGGTACACAATATGTGTATGTACAAATACATATATATGATGATGAATATTCAGGCAGTTATGTGTTGTTCTGGTCTGTTTATTTAAGTGAGATCATACAGTATTCTTGACTTATTCCACTCATTAAGCTCTTTTTTAATAGCAATTAACAAGGTTCTAGCTTCTCTTTTGTTGAGTACTAATATCATTGTATCTATAAGCCATATATCTCATTGATTGTAGAGAGATTAATTCTATCTCCAACCTCATTTCTGTCACCAAGTCCATGCTCTCCTATTACTGATTCTTCTTCCTTGTTTCCAACTTTTACATTCCATTCACTCATTATTGTCAAAGCATCTTGGTTACGTGTTCGGTTTATTTTCAACGGCGAAAGTTGATAGAAGTCACTTGTTTCCTCCTCTTTGGCCCTGATTGTTGGTGCATGAATTTAAATGATAATGTCTTCTTTGTATGTGTTTGTCCCTCACAACATTGTGAGATGGATCTACAAATGGTCTTTTTAACTATGAACGAGACCCTATTTTTCTTTACCTTTTCATTTCCAGCATAGTAGATCATATTATCTGATTCAAAATGTCTTATGCCAACACATTTCATCAGTGCCTAGTATGTCAATATTTATGTGTTCCATTTCTTCCTTAATCCCCCGTTTTCCTACATTCATACCTCTTACATTCCATGTTCTAATCAGTAAAGCCTGTGTGCAACTGTTCGTCCTCCTTTGTAATTCGCATTAAGATGACTGTGTACCTCTGATGTCATATATGCTAGTGAACTCTTAAGTTTGCTCTCTTGTAGGTGTTTTCTGAGGCCTATAATTTCAGAAGTGAATGGCCAGTCCTTCTCCCTAGTTTGTCTTAATTTGGATACTCTGCTATCTAAAGCAATGTTTTTAAAGATAAGCATTTGACCAAAAGAGCATATTAGAGACCTTTCTTATAATTCAGGCGTTGTTGTTATTATATTCAGCCCTTCCACCACTGCCTTTGGCACATGTGTCTTGTTCCCACCCCCACTACTGAGTTAGCATTCAGCCCAGTTCCCTCTTTGCCCCTTCCGCCCCTACGCCCTTCCCATCTATAGCCACACGTTTGATGACTCAGGTCTCCAATCACCTCTGCCACCCACTTCCTCTCTTATTTCCCGATGATGTTGGTGTTCCTGGTGCAGCTGAGACCTCTGCCTAGCGGGGGCCTGACCTCCTCCTCATTGTTGGAGGCATGGTTTAGATTTTTTTACAGCTTCAGCTTGCTTTCTTCCATAATTAATACATAATTAATTCCAGTGGTCAGAAAAAAAAAGATGTAATAACAACAATATCTATATATCACATGTTTTGTTTAGCCATTGATGGACATCTATATTGTAAATGCTGTTTTCACTGTTGTTGTTATGTGCCGTCGAGTCGCTTGCAACTCATAGCAACCCTATGTATAATAGCCCTAAACTCTCCTCTGTTCTGTGCCAATTGCACCGTCTTCGATAGACCCATCCTGATTACCACAGACACTGAATCAATCCACCTCATAGAGAGTCTTCTTTCCCTCCTGCGCCATCCCTCCACCCTCCCAAGCATGATGTCCCTCTCCAAGGACCGGTCCCTTCTTACAACATGTCCAAAGTATGTCAGACGAAGCCCCAGAATCCTTGCCTCCAAGGAGTTGCTTGCAATTTTCCCATTGGAACACATCTTTAGGTTTTTTAACTTAACTATTTTCATGTATATGAATTGTGGAGTGAAATAATTGACAAGTCTTTTCTCTGTAGTTTTTCATGTTCTGCAGCAGGTGCTTCATGTCCATTTCACTTTAAGTCAAAGTTGTGTTATCTGCATAACGCAGGTAGTTGATGAATCTTCTTCCAGTCCTGATACTTCATTCTTCTTTATATTGTTCAGTTTCTTCAGTTATTTGTTCAGCATACAGATAATGCTTAGTATTCCTAAACATGCAGTTTCCAGAATCCAAGCGTACACAACAGTATAGAAAATTTATGAGGCTGAGAGATTGCACTGATTTTGCATTGATTCCTAGCCTCATGTTGATCACATTCAAAATCCTTTTTGCTTCCAAAAGGATATTTATTTTTTTTTTGTTAGGAAATTTTGAAGGTACAGTTTACATGGGATTAAAATGTATTATACTTGAAGAAAATTATGTGCCAGTTTATTTATTTCATGGTTTTCGAGTTGTAATTGGTGTATAATATCTGTTTAACTTCTTCATTATAATTCCTTGGAGAAAATAATGAATACAAAGTAAGTTTTTATTGGGCATTTCATAGCTGTAAAACTGCATTTCATTTTTGTAAATGAAATTTGTAATTTGTAAATTAGAGTTTTTAATGGCTATCTCTTAATTACTTAAAATTTTATCAATATGGTTTAAATTGGTAATAATTCTGTTAAGTGTGGATCATTTAAAAAAAATTTGTTTTCTTATATACAGTGCAATAACACCAGTGAGTTGAGCACCACAATTATTCGAGTCAGTCCAACTCTAATGGAAGAACACATCGTGGAAAATTTGGAAGAAAAGGTTTCTTTCCAAGGTAAAGAAAAAAGAACATTATTGTATGTTATTCAGAACAACTTAGATAAAAAAAAAGTGACTGACACTATTTTCCTGAATAACCAAAGTATAGATGTGCGACCTACTATTAATGTATATAAAGATGGTTATTCTGAACATGGAGATTTCTGTGAAACTACTCTGGTAGGTTTGACATCAAACACTAATGAATTGGACCATCTCAATATGGCTCTACCAGGTAGAACTTATCATCTGGCTTTGTCACCAGCTGGTTACCTCTTTACATTGTATCCAGAATCTGGTAAAAAAAGTAAAGAAGTCAATTCCAAAGACACATTTACTGCCAAGAGTGAATTCAGTAACCAGATTCCTAGCCAGGTGGCTCGTGACACCCAGAACGCCCAGGTGCCTAACGTAGAAGGCCTCAGCTCTGCTGAGACACAGCACCTGTCTGCTGCTGTTCCTGTACTCTTGACTAAATGTTCTCTGCCCTCAGCGACTTTTGCTCAGCAGTATTTGGGAGTACTGCCTTCAGCTGGAAACATAGCATTACCTGCACTTCATGTTCGGGCTGCCACAATCTGTGGGTTTTCAGGAGATTGTCCACATCTTGCTATCGCAGAAGATCATGCTCAGAACTCAGTGGCTGTGGGGAGTTGTCTAGGACAAAATTTCGGCTCTGGTTTGATGGGTACTACTTCTTTTTGTAACCCATACTATAATTCCTTAAGTCCATATCTTCTAAGTACAGTAAAACCTTTTTCATCTGTTGGTATAAGCTGTGGAAATGGACTGTGGAATTCAGAGAAAATATCAGAATTTGGTAAGGTGTTTTTCTGTGATTGTTCATTGTTATTTTAAAATTTATTTTCTCAAACCACTATAAAACTAATTTGTCTGAAGGTGCTGCTGGTTGATTTTATTCTCTTGTAATACTGGTTTTTTTCTTTATCTTGAATTGAGAGCACAGACTATATATATTTCTATTCTAGTACCTTAGAAAACTGCTGAACTCTACATGAGTGAAAAGTTCCCTATGGTTATATCTTCTTTTTTGTGTGTCACTCACCACTTATATTTCTTTTACACTTTCAACTAAGAAATAATCCTCTGTAGAGTTGGATCCTTGAATGAGCGAGCTACCCTTGTTGTTGTTGTTATGTGCCGTTGAGTCGCCTGCGACTCATAGCGACCCTATGTATAACAGCCCTAACTCCGCTCTGTCCTGTGCCAATCGCACTGTCTCTGACACTCCCATCACAATTATCCCAGTCACTGAATCAATCCACCTCATAGAGGGCCTTCCTCTCCTGCACTGTCCCTCCAC